TAGGGATAGAGTTAAAAAGTTGTTTGAATTTTCTCACTTCACATATATAGACAAGGTGCTAAAGCAATTTGGCATGAAAAGAGTTTAAAAGAAAGATACTTGCTTATGTCACATGACATAAATTTTTTAAAAGACATGTGTCATAAATCACAAGAAAATAGAGATCACATGGATAAGATTCCATATGTTTCAACAATTAGATACATCATGTAAATGATTTTATCCACTAGACAAGATGTATCATATGCTAAGTGTTGTAAATAGATACAAATTTAATCCAAGTGAATGTCATTGGATATTGTTAAAGAATATCCTTAAGTACTTAAAAAAATTAAAGATATATTCTTGATTTATAAAGGTGTGGAACTCAATGTGTTAGGTCACAGTGATGTCGGCTTCCAATATAACAAAGATGATAGTAAGTCACAAGGAGAATTTGTATTCAATCTTAATGAAGGTGTGATTACTTGGAAAAGTTTCGACTAGGAGACTACCATATATTCTATGATTGAAACCAAATACATCTTTGAGTCTAAGGCGACAAAAAAGGTAGTTTGGATTAGGAAGAGCTATGTGTGATTCCTAGCATTATTGAGCTAATACTTTTGTAATGTGACAACAATGGAGTTATTGCACAAGTAAAGCAACCAAGGTCTCCTAAGTGATTTAAACAGGTATTAAGGCATTACCACTTGATTTGAGAGATTATCAAATGTGGTGATATAAAGAGTGAACATGTGACTTTAAAGGATAATCTAGCAAATCCTTTCATTAAGGTCTTGTCCCAACATAAACATGACCACCACATGGAAGGCATGGTTATTAGATATATAAGCGATTGGCTTTAAAAGAAGTGGGAGATTAATAGAGTTGATACAAGCCAATCGACATATTTTATAGAAAATATTAACTTTGATTTTATGCATTGCATTAAAAAAAAGTTTTCTTTAGATATGAATTTATATATTTTCATATGTTAGATAAAGTTATTGAAGTGAATACACTTTGTACAGGAATTATAATGTGCTATAATTATGAAATTTTCATTGCATGAAAGCATCACTCTGAAAAAGTTCCTTATCAATGCTTTACTAAGATAGCATATCGGTATAAGCCAAAAGATTAGAATTTGTTATGTTTCTTACTTGTGAATTAAGTAATTGATTTCATAGATTAATGTATTAAGATACTTAAAACTAACATATGAATGCTTGTTATAAAAGCAAGTTTACTAAACATTATCAACCATGAAAAGTCCATTTGATACTTTCACTCAAGTGTCTATAAAAGTATTCTCATGTGTCAATTATGTAAATAATTCTTCAACTTGAGATCATTAGGTTCTTTTATGTGGGCATTGCTATACTTTGATATTACTTTAAGTAGTCCTAATTAAGAATGTACAATGAGGCATATGTTGAGTATAACATGAACTACAAGAAGATAAATGAATGATCAATAAAGATATAGGATAAAACACTCTTCCCTCATAAAGTTTTGTTCATAATTACATGTTAGTCTATTAGAATTAAAAATATACATTTCGTCCCAAAATTATTTAAGTCAATGGACACATAAGTTTTACCATCTAT